TGGTATTTACCATAAGGAGCATTTGTAACATTTTAATCCTGTGTTTTCTTTTTTAAAATGCATTCTTACACTATGACCAATTACAAAATGAGAAGAGAATGGATAGATTAAGGTTGTCCAAAGAATAATGATCCTTATGCTTATCCTAACAATATCAATTTCAAAAATTTTACTTAATTCATAATGACACCTGTGTTAGTGTATGAACCACAATATCCATAATCAGGTTAAATTCGTTGGAAATATGTTATTGTTAAATTTATGAATACAATGGCTATGCTTATTATGGGATATATGATTGTTTCAAATCATATCTATCCAATAATTTAGAATATTAAAGATCATTCATTACCTGATTCAATTTTTTAGATGACATTACCTTTAATATTTTTATGTCTCACACTATTTAATATGGTATTTGAAAATTATTGTAATTTCTGGGCTGAAATCACTCATTTTGGAGATAGATTATTTTATACTGATTGGTGGAATTCAACTGATTTTGAAGAATTTAATAGAAATTGGAATAGACCTGTATATGAATTCCTTTATAGACATGTCTATTTAGAATTAATATTTGAATTTGGTATAGGAGTAAAAAAAGCATAATTGGCAACATTCATGTTTTCTGCACTTTTACATGAATACACATTAGCAGTAAGTTTGAAATAAATAACTCCAATTATGATTATGTTTATGATGATTCAATTACCAGTGATGGTTTGGACCAAAAGAATTAAAGGAACAAAATTTGGAAATCTTTTCTTTTGGTTTGGAATCATATAAGGTTTACCCCTTATTTTGAATCTCTACCTTAGATTTGATGAATTACCAAAACTATTGTTACCATGAGTATATAATTTGTAAAATACAAAATAATTCATTTCTTTATTTCAATACCACTCAAGGCTCTTTATAATAATATATTTCCTTAGCAAATTTTTAATTGCAATTCTATCTATGTTTTCAAAATTTAACGATGTTCTTCTAAACGTTTAATAAACCCACTTGTTTGTTATGTTATTTGACTAAAAACTTACAATTTCTTCTCTTCCTTAACCACATTAGAATATTGATTGAAAATTCTTTGAGCTTCTGTTTGCATTAATGATTTTGAATCCATTTTAAAATCATCTTATGGCATCACATAACTTCCTATCAACATAGATATAATTCTATACCAACATTTAATTTTATTTTCTTAATAATCACATCGTCATTCATTATTATTAATATATCGATAATTAAATAATTACTCAAACATATTATTGTAGATTTGATTTACTATATATATATAATCATTAAATATTTGTCTATATGGTCTAAAATCTTAATGATTATGTGATCTTTATAGTTACTAATAATTATAAAAATTGTTCTACCTATTATTATATTGCATTTATTTAATTTATATTGTAAATTATCTGCAATATTTGTCAATCTTGTTTATTTAATCTAAATTTCAAGTTTGATTAGCATTACATTATTCAATCATGGCTTATAATTATTTAAAAATATTATATATTAAAATTAAAATATTATTGTTGAGAGTAATTATTCAACAAAAACTTCGCATATTAATAAAAAGTATAAGAAACTTCAATTTCTTATCACTCTTTTATTTATTAATGCAATTTCTAATATTATTTTAAATAAAATCAATTTTTTTAAGGAAATCTAATTCTCTTAATTATTCAAATATATTCTTTAAGTTTATAGTCTTGAATCCTTAATTATGTGATAAATTGATTCATAAACAACATATCTATGAACTTAGATTAAGAAGAACATCAATATTATAAATTCATATATATTAAAGAGACAGTAATATGAAAGAGAAGCTTGAGCTTTATGGCATAGAAGATCAAAACTATTATTTAGAATAAATGAGTATATAATTTAACTATCGAATAAACTATTATCATTGAAGGCTTAGCTCAGGGGTAGAGCGTTGGATTCCAGGTCCAGGGGTCGCGCGTTCAATTCGCGTAGTCTTCATATTTTTAATTTTTAATAAGTTAATAATTTTTGAATGATTAAGAATTATTCATATTTATTTTCTTATTGATGTAGTTCTATGAATATCTTATAAAGTTATTATTGTTAAAATTAATCGATTTTTGGAGCATATAACCCAAAATGATATCATATAAAAAAGAGAAACATAATGAAACTAATAAATAGTACAACTTTCAAGCTTTTATTATATTTGGCATTTTTCTCATTGATTGATGCCAAATTTATTTACTTTTAAATTGCCTTAATATAGTTTTCATATATCAATCTCATATTAAGATATGATTCAATCACTTATTTTCAGAAATATTATATGTCAGATCATATCATTAAACAAACATAAGAGTTATAGACTTATCTATAACTTTAAAAAGTTGAGTATTATTCCATTTAATTATAAATATTTTTTTATAAACTAGATAATTAAGTACAAATTTTATTTTTGTTCATTTCTATTATTTAATGGCTTAAAATAAAAAAATGAAATCTGCATTGAATCAACCGTAAACATTGATAATATGATTTTATTGTCTAAATCATGATGTATTCAATCTATTATTAAAAAATATAATATTTTCAATCTTAATTAGGATTCTTTCTATAATAAAAACTAATTTTCTATTGATAATTAAGTATTAATAAATTGTGTTAGTATAATATAAAAAGATTTGTTCAATGAGCAATTGTATAGTAAAGGAGGAGGAATAACATGTCCAAACTCCAATGAGTATCTCTAAAACAACAGTTTCTAAACAAAATAGAAGGAAGGTTTTGTAAGAAAATCAATCCTTTCAATCAATTTATTTAAAAGTGGTGAATAAATTCTTATAAACCTTTCATAACCTTTAAATGGCTTAACTTAACTCTTAATAAAAGAGTTTTCCATCATATCCATTTATACTTTAGTATTCATTCAATGAATTTTTAGTATTATCTCTATTAAATAAGTAGGTACATTTAGGTGGACATAAAATGGATTTTAAAAATACTCCTATATTGAATAATTTCCAACAATAACAACAATTATAATAGTGTGTACCCAAATTAATCACTTAATAATGTCCATCAATTAAACTAAGTATCTAAAAAAGAAAAGGAGTCTCAAGTTAAGAATAAAAAGACACAAAAAACATTCCTAAGAATTATTGTAAGGCTATAATCACATTTGCTTCAAAACATAAAGCTCTTTGTCATTAAATATTAGGAGACTAGCTTAAAGTAGTCAAGTTTTTAGAAAGAATAACAGTCTACAAGAAGAAGTTGATGAATATTCGTATATTCAGTGCATTACTATCTTAATCAGAGGATCCTGATGAGGAAGAATTCAATCAAACTTTTAGAATTTTAAGGTACACATAATTCTATTAACTTATAGTCGTATATTCGTTAAGAAGTATGCAATTAATTATATATTTAATTCAAAGATAGTCTAACATAATTGGCATCTTCGATATCGTTAATAGATATATAAAGGTATAAAAAATCCTAAGAATTTTTCCCATATTAAGAAATTATGATATGTTAGAATATTTGATTCTAAATAAAAATTAAAGATTAGTTTTTTTTTTTATATTTTATGAAATTAATTAAATAATTCTGTTCATTTGTGGGAAAGGAAATTGATATCAAATAAGCTAGTTTAATTAACATAATAAGAAGTGAGATAGCTGAAAAAGGAGCCATTTCATTTCCTAGATTTTGGCATCAAGCACTTTTACATGAAAAGTTTGGTTATTACATGAAATAAGATGTATTTAATAAAGATGGAGATTTTGTGACATCTGTTGAAATATCATAGATGTTTAATGAAGTATGATCAAATATCTTATAAAATCAACAGTTAATTGGAATTTGGTTATTGAATACATTCCAACATATTGGTGTTTTAGATAATAACTTTAGACCTACAAATTAAAAAATGCATATTCTAGAATTTGGACCAGGTTTAGGTACTTTGAGTTCGAACGTGTTGAGAGTATTTGCTTAATTCAATTTACTTGAAAATCTTCAATATTCATATGTTGAATATAGTGATTATATGCGTAAAAAGTAATAGGAAGCTGTATTAAAACAATTATAAAAAAGTAACATCTATCCTAAATATGAATATAATAATTAAAAAGTAGAAAAATTTGAAAGTGCTGAAGTAAATTTGAAATGGTTTAAAATGTATGAACACTTCTTATATGAAGAAACAAGAGAAGGTTAACATTGTGATCCAGTATTAATATTAGCTCATGAATTTTTTGATGCATTGCCTGTAAATATATTTGAATATTCTGGTGGTTAATGGTGTGAGAAATTAGTAGGATTAGATCAAGATGGTAAAACTCTTAAATTTATACTATCAAATGGTCCTAATTAAAATGTTTATAAAGTTCTAAATCCAGATAAATATTTCTCTCCAGAAATTAAAAAATTAATAAAGGAAGGGGATACAATTGAAATTTCTCCTTAAAGTGGAGTTATAGCTAATTCTTTAGCTGAATTAATTGCAAAAGTTGGTGGAGCAGCACTCATTATTGATTATGGAGAAAAAAGAGCATTTTCTGATAGTATTAGAGCTATCCAAAGACATAAATTGATGGATAAAAATGATATCTTAAATAAACCTGGTGATTGTGATTTGAGTGCTTATGTTAATTTTATGGCATTAGAATAAGCAGCACTTAAAGTAGAAGGTATTAAAGTTCCAGAACTTATGACATAAGGTAATTGGTTAGAATAAATGGGAATTTAAGCAAGATTATAAGTTTATTATATTAAAATATTAATTAGATACTATGTAAAAATGCTAACAAAGCAACAGAAAAGAGATTACAGTCTGAATATGAGAGATTAGTACATTCAAATTAGATGGGATCTAATTTCAAATTTATGTGTATTCATAGAACCAAGAATAATAATCTATTCCCTTTTATATAGGATGCATAATAAATATATTATTGAGTTATTAAAATAAAAATAATAAATTATTTTATAAAATGGGATAAGCATGTACAAGTGCTGATATTGCTGCCTTTACAGAAGATTTCAGACCTCCATATCCATATAGGAATGAAGCATTAAAATTTAGTGAAATGGAAGTGTATGAACATACAGGGGATCCTTAATTTAAATTAGTTAGAGCTAAACTCTATGATAGTTATTTCAGAATTCGAGACTAACTAGAATATTTAGTTAAACGTGAATAAGATCCATTCAATATTGTGATTCATAAATATGATAGCGATTTCATATCTATTAATATGTTCTTTGATTTTCCAATTAGATTAGAAGATTTCGTTTCAACAAAATTAACAGTTCCTGAAGTTTGGTCTATGTTAGGATATGTATCAGCAGCCTTAGCCAAATTATAATAATAGAAGCAACACTATAATAATATAAATCCAAAGGGAATCTTTAGAGTTTATACAATTGAATAATAGTATGTATATAAATTAGCAGATCCTTTTCTATTTCATAATTAAATAATGAAGAACTTTTATAGTCCAATAATGTATTATAAGACTCATCCAGAACATGATTTATTCAAATCAGATACATTTTCATTAGGATTAGTTTGTGTATATTCTTTGGGATTCAAGAAAACTGAAATTCTTTATAAATAAGATGGATTTGATTTTGAATTATTGGATGATATAATTACTAGATTCAAATTACCTTTATATTTTGATAGATTACTTCGATCAATGTTAGAAATAGATGAATATGGTAGACCAGATCCAATTTAATTATCAATATCTGTTAGTAATTATACTAAGGCATATAAATTACCTGAATTAAAGACAGTGATGGTAGTATACAATAAATAGATTTTAAAAACAGCATAATCTCCTGATGCTACAGAATCCATTATAGATATTAGAACTCCTGAAAATAAAGTATTAGAATTACCAAAAGCTCCAAAAGTAGAAATATTGTAAGGACATTTGCCATATACAAATGGTTGTTATTATGTTGGTTCATATAATGGAAAAACAAAAAAACGAGAAGGTAAAGGAATCTTCTTTTCTAAGGATGGAAATAAATTGATCTAAGGAACTTTTTTAAATGATCTTCCTGAAGGAAATGAAATAGAAATGTGGAGAGAAGATGCTTAAGATGATACTACTCATGTAGATTTATCTAATTGGGAATATTTTAAGGGAGAAGTTGTTAAAGGGATGAAATAAGGAAAGGGAGAATTGAGATTCTTAAATTAAAATTACTTTATTGGAACATTTATTGATGATGCAGTTTGTGGATCTGGAATTTATTATTATTAAAGTCATAGTGTTGAAGGCATATGGATGAATGATAAATTCATAGCAGAACATTGATTTAATTATTACTTAAATTTATAGAAAAATTACTTAAATTAAATATAAAATAAATGATTTATGAAATCAATATAAAATATATTGTTATATTATTAAATCTTAAGATTTTAATATATATTTCAGAAAAAAACATTCTCTTTATGGAAGAGCAATATACAGATAGACTAATTTATTATTGATGAAAGGCAAAATGAATAAATAATTAGGGTTGTTTATTAATTAGATAATAATTTATAAGGAGTAATATTAGAATTATAATCATGACAATATTAATATCATTATTAACCTTCACTATTTAATTATCTTAATCTACTAACTATATCTATAAAGTAAAATGTATCTTGTTTCTAATGACTATTTGTTTTCATTATATTTCCACCAAATTATTACAAAAAATTTAATGCATCTGTAGTTAACTTCACAGCCTTTTTAGGTGCACCCAAACATAACAATGATAATACTCCTTTTTCAATTTAGTCTGATAACCATATTAATGTTCCAACTTTCTTTTCAATATCAAAGGATATTCCTTCTTTTCTACATTTTATAAATAAATCATTAAATTTTTATTCTGCTATTCCTGGATGATAAACAAATGGAATATATGTAAATTGATCAGTTTCCATTGCTGTTGCCAATATTGTTGCCCCAATATATTCATCTAATCCAAACTTCAATGATTTAGTATAAAAGGCTCCATTAAATGATAATAAAGAAAGTGTAAAATAACCAAAGATATTCTATTTATATAATTCTTCTGCTAATGGTTATATGAGAGAATCGACATTTAAATTGAGAACATTCTAAGGATATATACAACCCACTTTAGACATTCTAATGAATATTCATGTATTATAGTTACTCTTTTATTACTATGCTAGTAGATGTATTCAATATCTAATAAGTTCCTTAATTCTCAAGATTTACTTAGATATTTATTGTTTAAACTTTCTATGCATTTGGATAAGCCTCAACTATTCCACCATTTTTAATAAAATTGTCTAAGTATTCCTCAAAAGTAAACATCTAAGGAAATGCCAATACAGTTTTTATTGGTAATAACTATATAATATTTACAATTATTGTTTACAGTTTAAACTAATTCTCTTAATACTTTAAATTCAATACTATGTGGAAACTTCTTGATTTCTATAAATTATTTTACACCTTCTAAACTAAACCATGCTGTTCCTCTTCCATTAAATTCAATGTCTATTTTAAACATCCATTTTTATACTGTTAGATTTTTCATAATCAATACAGTCAATTTATCTACAAAATCATCTTTACTAACAAATTTATGATATTCTGGTGCCACAGGAAATGATAATTATCTAAATAATTCAATAGCTTCAGATTTTTTAGAGTATTTCTCTATTAATTCATAAGGACCAGAATATATATTTGTTTTTAGATATTCAGCTATTAAAAACTCTTCTCTACCTACTCTCATTGGTATAATATATGAGAATTATCCTTTGATTAATTCAGAAATTTAATGAATAGCTTTAGGAGATAAATATAATAATAATGCCAATGAATAATGTTATGGAAATCTATTTATATTCTCAGGATGAATAAAGAATAATCTACCTTCAGCATTTATACCAGCAACTTCTAATAATTTATAAAAATAAGCCATAATTTCTTCTTATAAAGGTGCACATACAAATATTATACTTACATTAGGATCTTTTAAAGCAAATAATCTTGTCAATTATAAACCTTCTCTATTTTTAAAATGACTCATTGATAATCTTTAAAATTATTTAATGGAATATGAAGGAATATGAATTTCTATTCTTTTTTAATTTAAATCTTCTAATAAAAATTACTTCTATCTATTTTCTAATGTACTAATTAATTATCCCATATTCTTTTTTATTTAATTTATAGTATAAACATATGTTTATTTTAATCTAAATTCTTTTTAAATTCTAATAACTTTCTATACAATCCTTTTTTGATGTCTGTACTTTCTTGATGCAACAAACATTCTAACAGTAGCTTAAATTTTCACTATAGCACTATCAGCTGAAAACTGTTTCTTATTTAAAATGTATAATCTCTCCATTATTGGTTTGGATATATAACATTCATATAATTCAATTAAATTAACTTTGAATTAAGATTAAGCCAATTATGCTATCCTATCACCATCTAACTATCCTGATGCTATCTTTTCTAATTTTTTTATAATATGCATGATTCCTCCCCAAATCATAAGATTTTTGATTTGATAATGAAAATCTGGTACATAATGTCCATTTTTTATTTCTATTATATATTTAGCTTTTCTAACAATTTTTGTTTACTATTATTTTTCTTTTGGAACAGATTGTCTTTCAACAAAAGATGATGAATAATCAGCAATCTATTTAACTGTTTGTTTTTGTGGAGCAACTTTATATTTTGATAGATTTTCTGAATATCCTGTATTATAATACTTGCTTTTCTCTGTAGGATTCTAAACTTAAACTTATGATATAGAAAGTAATTCATCTCCTCTTTTAAAGGCTGGACCTACATCAACATCTCTTGGTATCAAACCAGATTAAATTAAATTGCTGACTCCTTTATTAAGATCTTCATCTAATATTGTTGGTAAATCTGAAAATGGGTTTAATCTTAATTCTCTATTTAAAACATTAGCCTAATAAATATGAGCTGATTTTAATTTCCCTTTAGACTTTTTTGGTCTTTATTCTATAGATGGTTGTTTCAAAATCTTTGGAAGTGCTATTGATTTACCTTATTATTATATTAATGGTTTATCTCGTTTTATTTTTTATCTTTTATGAATAGGTTATGGCTCACCATTTGGTTTAAGAGTTTAAGTAACTGCAACTTACTAATTAAGATTTGTAAATTGATATTTCAATCTTTCATAAAGAAGAGAGAGTTCTTCATCAGAAAGTTGTTGACTCTGTAATGTACCAATGTGATGTTTAATATCAGCAAACTCTTTATAAGTCTTGTCTTATATTTATTTCATTATAGTAATTAAAATTTATATAAAATTATAATATATTTTCTAATAATAAATAAATTATAGATATTATATTGTTTAATCAAATTACTCTTTGTTCTATTTTTTATAAATAATGAAGATTATTAATAATAGATATATTTATTATTGTTAAATTATAAGCAATAATATAAGTTCTAGTAATTATAAAGAGATTTGGAATAAATTATTATTGATTTCAATAAGAATAATATTTTATTTATTCTATTTATTTAGATGATTTTATCATCTATACTAATATTTAATATTTGTAAATTAAATTTCATTTAAGATTATTTAGTAATTAGTTTAATGTTGAAATTATCTATATAAGTTAATAACAAAATTACAATTATTCATAAATTATGATATAAAAAATAAATTAAAATTATAATATAAAAAATGTAATAATAAAATATAAATTATTTAAATGTATTTCTCTATTTATTTTTTATTGTTTTAAATTGTTTGATATAGAAACTTGATATTTTAAATGTATATTGAATTAATAATTAAATACAGATATAATATTAATCAGTTTTTTCTTTTTTTGAATTATTTAGATAACCAATCTAATCCTTAATAAAGTCCATCACCAGTAATTGCACAAGTAGTTTATACAAACCATTCCCTTCTTAAACTTTATAATTCCAATTTTGATATTAATTCATCAACAGTTACTTAAGAGATATCAAATTTATTTGCTAAAATTAATAATGCTGCATCTCTTAATTCTTCATCACCCATTAATCTCATTAATTCTTCTTTTGCTACATTAATTCTTTCTTTATCAGATGAATCAATAACAAAAATAATTCCTTAAGTTCCAGTGAAGTAATGTCTCCATAATAATCTTAATTTATCTTAACCTCCAATATCCCAAACAGTGAAGCTGATATTTTTATATTCAACTTTTTCAACATTAAATCCAATAGTAGGAACTGAACTAACTACTTCTCCTAGTTTTAATTTATATAAAATAGTGGTTTTGCCAGCTGCATCTAAGCCAACCATTAATATTCTCATTTCTTTTTTTGAGAACCATGAATCAAATATAGTTGATAGTGGAATACCCATTATGTTTTATTTATTGTTTTTCTTATTTTATTGATTAAAATTCTATTGAGATGTTGATTTTTAAACTCTAATTTTTTCTCAAATTTTCCTTATAGGAAATTATAGTATAAAATTTAATTAAAATTAAAATAGTATTCATCAGATTTAATATATATTATAAATATAAATTAAAATAATTTATATTAAAACATTAAAATATCAAAAGATTTTACAAGCTGAACATGAAAATCTCTATGGATCAGTTTCATTTTTATTTTTTAGATCTTCTCCAGGAATATAAAGTAAATCATTAAATGGTTAAATTATTGATTAAATATAAGTGTTTCTGTTTTCTATTTCACATCTAATCTGATTTTCAAATTCTTCTTATCTAAACTTAAGAACTTTCATAGTTTATATTCTTTATTCAGAAGGCATAGAAAGTGAAAATCTATAAATTAAAATCAAAATTTATACTAAAGTTCTATTGGATTTTTTCCATTAAAAGGAGCATCTGGTGAATCATCCTAATAATCTAATGTCAATAAACAAGGTTATATTATTTCTTTAGAATAACTTTACAAAGGAAACGAAATCAATACTTCTGATAAATCTAATTCAATTCTATTTAGAACTTTAAATTCTGTTCCATTATCCTTTTTTTTACCCCAAACAGCTATTGTTAAAGTTTTACTTTCTTCTAAAATTGGAAAAGAACATGTCAAATCATCACCTCTTGCATAAATTGATTTTTATTCTTATCCATTAAGATTTGCTTTATATTTAATCTAATAATGATTAAATATATCTGTTTTTAAACTTTTATGTCTAGTATAACAGATTGATAATCTATTTGGTTAATCAAACTTTAATTAAGTATGACTTTCCAAAATTGATATCTACTAATTTAGAGTTCTAATAGAATCTTATATAATAT